AAACACCTCGCATAACAATGTTGTCAAATAGATGTACTTTTAAATTGAGGTATCTAAGTGTAGAGCTTGACGAGTATTGAAAAACATATAGATCTGTGTAACCCACCCACCATATCAATCAAGGGAGCATTTCCAGCACAGTGTCTTGCAAAATGTGCTGAGGAGACATCAGGCTTGGCACAGGCAGGACCAGGAGAATTCATCTTATATTTGAGGCCTGTCTAAAGGGGTTGTATCACCTGAGGTCAGATGGAGTGAAAAGTCAAATACTAAAGTGGGGGCAGCAGGGACAAAGAGACAGTATTTCGTAAGACTGAGCAGGTTTGGGATTGTGCAATCCTATGTGTTATGCAGGCAAGGTTCAGTGACCGACAGGCAGGGGCACTGGGATGGGGATGCCAAAGTCAGCTTTAATTCTCTAGCTGGGAGAACTTGCCCTCAAATCCTAGAAAGTAAGGGTTACAGTGTGTGGTGCTCCTGCCTGAGGTCTGAGGTGAGGAAATTTCTGGGAGAATCTTATTAAAAACATTTGCTCACTGCCTTCCTGGCTGCTGATAAAAGCGACATCTTGGCTGACCTGGATATTTTGCTGTGTTATGTTAGCAAAATGTCCCACTCAATTCCCCAAATGAAAATTGCATTTGACAAGAATGTGTGAAAAGGCTGGTGGATGGATCCCAACAGAATACTTGTCTACGTTATGTGATATTGCTTCTACCTCACATTTAAACAGAGCTGTCCTTTGTCGAGCATCAAAGGGCTCAGAGTGCCTACTGAATGTGTCCACCTGGCTGCCTATGTGGAATCCTGAATGTAACGAGTTCTAGGCAGAACACCTGTTCCCTCTCCCCTACCTAGTCTTCCTCATTCTAACAAACGTCATACAATTGTTTACACCAGAGTCCTAGGAGTCTTCCTTGATTCTTGCCCTTTCCTTCATGCTCAATGTCAAGTCCACCAAGACCTGCCAGTTATACCTTCAGAATGTGTCCTGGTTTTGTGTGGCACAAGATTAAACAGCCAAGGTAGTGGGGTCAGATCACCTGGGTTTGAATCTTCACTCTAACAGTTGCGTGCGGAGTAACCTGGACAGGTGTGTCAGTTTCCTGGCATGTAAAGTGGAAATAACAATAGCAACTATTTCATAAGGTTGTGTGTAGCAATAATGTTAACACATATAAAGTACTTGAAATTAAGCCTCAATGTACTAGGTGCTCAATTAAAGTTAGTACTATCTTTCAATCTGCCATCTTAACCCTACCCTATCTTCTCTCACCTAGATTATTGAAACCATCAACCTCTGCCCAGTTTCCCTGCTTTTGCCCTCTATCGTCTATACAGCTACCAAAACGCACTTTTAAACACAAGTTAGATCAAGCCATTCACCTGTTCAAAATCCTCCAACAGCTTCCCAGTCACAAAAGAAATCCCAAGTCCTTACCATGGCCACAGGGCCCGGGCTGGTCTGGCTTCTGTTGCTAACTCACCATTTAGAGCTCTCTCTCTCTTTGCACTGGCTTTACTTTTAACGTTTCCCTTCCTACTAGTTAATGAAGGAAGTCAATTTATATTTTATACAATGCTCAAAGGATCTAGTGTATGGATCTAATTTATAGATAAGGGATCTACATGGGTATGAATGAAAGTAAGTTGCTTATTTTAAATTTTAGCAGAAGATGCCCCATTTCAGAAACTATGATTATTGGAACAACACAGTCTCTTCTGCATTTAAAAAAATAAGCCATATACTTGTGCTTTACCCAATTAGCAGTATTTTTTCCAGTTAAGAACGAAGAGGGAAGAACAGGTTTTTAAATATGAGTCTTTAAAGGGCTCACAGGAAACTGCCTACTTAGTCACTTGTCAGAACAAGCCTCGCCCTTCCACATTTTGTTTACTTTCTGTTTTCCCTATTTATTGTTTTAAATTGAGTTTCCATTCCTCTAGTGAGCACCATGTTCCAAGCAAAGGTGGGAAATTCAGTTCATACACTCACTACCCACTTCGCAGTTTTTCTATCAGGAGCTATTTAGTATGAATCAGGGGTATGGCAGGAAAGAAAGGATAGGAGGACTGAGGAGCTGACGCGTGGACTGGGAGGGCCTACAGCCCTGAAAGGGTGCTGTTGTTCTCCCATGGCCTATCCCTATAGTGTGGAGGCGGTGAGGAAAGCCAACAATGCGCCCTAGGATTTTTTCAGTGCTTGATATAAAGAAAGAGTCACTCAGGATTTATCTTTGAAGAATTAAAAAAACAAAGCAAAACTGACATGAGCAATATACCTTGGTTTAACTGACACTTGAAAAGTATACTCTGTTTTTTTTTATCATTTCTTGAAACTAAGCTCTTTTGTGTCTTAGCTACAACCTATGAGTTGTGTTTTAGCTATGGGAAAACTCTAAGAGGAAATACCAGGAAGAATTAAGTTTTCAATTTTCTTTCTTTAGTGTCTTTGCTTGCAAATAAAATTAGCATTAAATCCTCTAGAAGAAGTCAGTACTACTCATATCCCACTTAGGTAAGCCAAATGACATACATGCTTATCTGGAAACCAAAGGGTTCCTTTCACTTTTACTATTTTTCCACACGAAAGTTTCAAAGAACCCTAGAATATTTCTCAAAAAGACAGCCATGTAGGTGCATACACCCAAAGGTACATGAGAAATGGGGTTCTCTGGTTAATGAACTTGAAAGGTTAAACATTTTAAAGTTCTTTAAAAGATGATCAGATCCAAGATAAAATATACAGAAAGGATCTTCATAAACATTGTCACCGGTATAAAAACTAGACAAAACATTTGACAAGACAAAGACAACTTGAGCTGTAACACATACAAAACTCCCAGCTGCCACAATATTCCCAGATAGCACAAGAGAACAGGATTCCATTCCTGTGATGTGTGGGAGTTAATACGCAGAAAAGAAAACAACAGCTTATGGTTAGTAAAGGCACAGTAAGAAAATTTACACATCATATCATATCTGACAGGAGGATAATATGGATCAGGTTTAATCCACTGAGGACTTATTATAAGGTATACGGTACTGGGCTCTGTGGAACTGCGTCCTCTCTTAGGCTATGAGAGTTAAACATGCAACATAACAAGCCAGAAACAAAGATATGAAAAATAGCCACCCAGCCCTTCTCCAAAACAATATAAAAAGTCCTAGGCTATGTGGAATAGAAGAAAAAGATTAATATATAAAGGCACACACATTAATAAAGAAAAAATGTTGACAGACTTTACAAAAATTACAGTCAGGTTAAGTGTGTATCTTGAAGGAAGTGATAACAGTGGTTTCTCAGGTACGGCAAAGTAAAGTGACCGATCAGAGAAGACGCAACCACAGAGCAGAAAGCTTTGCCTCTTTCCCTTGATAAATATACACTGAGTGCTTCCTATGTATATATCATGCTGCTGTATGTGAAACACTTAAACAAGTTAAAAGATGTGATTTTGTGACCTCTTGTAGGGTTTGCATTTTTACATGCACAATCTGAGGTTTGTATCCAAACCTCAGAACTATTTTAAAAGCTATTTTTAGTTTTAATCTTTTTAAATATATAAGATATATAAGAAAATTAAAACGCTACTGCGAAGCAATTGCTGAACTCATCTGGCCTAAAAGCAATTTATGGTAGAAAAAAATGTAGTGTTGTTCGTATGCACGTGTAAATGAGTGTATGTTCCATCCGTATGTGCATATGTGTTGGGCACGGGGTAGGGGGGGAGGCGGTGCCCGTTTAACCGAGCAGATTACCTCTCACCTCATAACTGCTCCTCCTCACTTTCACTTTTTTAGATTATTTGGCCACATATTTTGGTGAACGGAGAGTCTTTTTATGTTCTCTTAAACATAGGCTTGTTGGTGAACTTCACAGATCACTTGTTTTTTAAAATAATTTCAAAAGGACAATAGCTTTTGAAACTAGCAAAGTTTCAGCCTGAAGAACAATGAATAATGATATTTAAAAAGCTGAGTATCACCTTCACCGTTGATATTTACAGCGCATGTGGTAACATGTAATTACACACAAGGCTTTTATGTGTAGCAAGTTTGATCACCTATAAAATATGATTTAACTGAACTTTTTACATCTAGTTTTCTAAGTCCTTATACTGAGTGAAAGAAGGTAGGCCAAAAAAAAGAAAAGTACATGCTGTATGATTACATTTATAGACAATGCAGTTATCTCTAGTGACAAAGTGGATCAAGTTGTCGCCTGGGAGAGAGGACAGAGGAGAAGGAGAGGAGGGGCTACAAAGGGACACAGAGAAACTTTTGAAGTGCTAGAAATATCTGTTATCTTGATTTTGATGATGGTTTCACAGGTGTATCGATAGGTTTAAACTTATCAAAATTGCATACTTTAAATATATGCAGTTTATTTTCACTAATTATACCTCAAGAAAGCTTTTAAAACATTCAATGTTGGCTTGTCAAGTTATTCCTGACAAATGAACAGAGATAATATAACTACTGTATAATACACATATATGGGAATTAGGGTGAAAAATAAAAATAAAACCAGAAACGTATGACTGGAGGAAGATAGGTCCTTTGATGTTGTATCTGGAGGTCATGTCTCTAGTGACTTATCACTTTAAACTTTGCTAGCAACCCCGAACAGTTTGCTTTCATCACCACAGAACAAATAACTTTCCGAGTCCGCATAGAGCACTGTTTCCTATGGTCTCTCAAGAAGCTAATGCTAGACAATAGTTCATAGGATTGTAGCTGCATAAGCCCTGGAACCGATTTGGTAGCTTTTATTCACAAGGGGCGGGGGAATGAAAAGCAATGATTCAAGGACAGAAGACAGTGTGGTACCTTCTCCTGATCATTAATACTGAAAAGAAGGGAAAAGTTTTTCAAAAGATAGGAGTTTGGCGTTTAGGGCATTCTTGCGATCTATTGTATACTACAGCAAAGTGATATTTCAAAACGCACATCTGATCATGTTTCTGCTTAAAGTCCTACAGTGGCTTTGGACTCACCACCGCCTTTAGGAGAAGTACTTAGCAGGTTTTCCAGCTGCTTCAGGATTTGGCGTTGGTCCACCTTTCAGCCTCAGCCCATCTCTGTCTCCTACTCAATCTGCAGCATTCTGAATGCCTGTTGTACCTTAACTCATCAAAGCCTTTTCATGTTTCATGCAGTTTGGTTTCTCCAGGAAGCAGACGCGGGCACAGTTTAGTGTTCAGGATGTTTATTAGGGAGTGCTCTTGAGAGCAACGCCCATGGAAGGGAGGGGGCGGAAGCAGGATTGGGAAGAGGGAGAAATCAAGCTGTGATGCAAGTCCCACAGCCTCAGCCTACCGTGCTAGGTGCTGGGAAACCGAAATGGCCCATCAGAGTTGGCCAGTATGTACACGACCTCGGGTGAGACATCCCTCTGCAGCTGAAACAACGCCAGAAGGATAGGCCGGCACTGCCAATGCCTGGGACAGTGAACCCTTACCTTAAAGAGGAATCTTTCTGGGGCATTTGTATGTCCACCTCACCTTGGTATTTACCTTGCATGAAACTCTGTTTTCCTCCACTTCATCTAGGTCATTTCTGCTCCTCCCTCAGATCTCAGCGTAATTCTCTCTTCTTCAGAGAGAGCCTCCCAAATTCCCCAACACGATTGGCTTCCCTACCGAGTCAAACTCCCCACATTTCTTTAGTGCCATCTTGTCATAATCCTTGTCATACTTCATTGTGGTCAGTCACTTATTTCTGCTTTCTTCTTTACGATGGTAATTCCATGAGCACAGAGATAACTTCAGTAATATTTACTCCCGATCTTCAATTCCTACTACATTGTTGGCACCTACTAGGCACTTAATAAATATTGACTGAATAAATGAATGAATCCAAGGTTCAAAGAGCATTGCAAGGAGCAAACGCCGTTACTAATACGTGTGTTTTGGTATACTCATATACGAAGACTCATTGCTGCATGGTGAGGGAAAACTTCATTCAGGCTCCATAATTAGACTGCCCACTCCAACAGTCTCAGCTCAATCACATTCTAGCTGTGTTACCTTGGAAAATTAATTAATCTCTTTAAGCCTCAATTTCTTTATCTGTGATAATTATTTATGATAATCTAGTATCTGTAATAATTACAGTAGCAATAATAGTATCTTCCCCATAATGCTACTGGGAAGGTTTGGTGAAAGAATCTATGTATAGGGTTTATCATAGCTCCTGGAATATAGTAAGGCATCAGTATAAGTTAGCTATAATTGTTATTATGGTTTGGCTTTTAGCTATAAGTTCATAATATACCTTAAGAAAGAGAAAAATATTAGGAAAAAACTTTTTTATGTTTCCTTTTGAAAAATGCATCAAATAGTAATCTTAGAAAAGTTAGAACTTTGGATTTCCCTACACGTGCATTACAGTTTAGGATTGCTTTTTATGTGGTTTTATATATAGGAGATAGAGAATAGCATTACCTTCTCATTACTTAGGGTCTTCTAAGGTCTTAAATAAGTCCTGTTCCTGTCTTCTCCACTCACACAACACTGACCTGCTTGTAATTTACAAGTAGTGGTGTGTGTGTGTGTATGTGAGAGAGAAAGAGAGAGAACCATGTTTTTACTATGTCTTAAATGCCTTTTCCTACTTAGGAGGTTTTTAATAATTATTATAATCAATTAATTATGAATTGATTTATTGACTCAAAAAACACCTCCTGAACAGTCTTCCACTATTTCTTCCATGCTACTCTTGTTTTTCACATTTTTACCATAACACCATTTACACACCTGAGCTATGGTTCTAGTCTCCTCGCATTGCATTTCCCCACTAGATTATGAGCTTCTTTGAAAGCAGGTCTTCTTCATCTTTTGTACCTGGCACATTCAGACATTTGGTAAATGTTGGCTGAATTGATTTGAATTAGAAGAAAAACACCAGATCTCTTCAGAAAGACACAAATAACAAAGGGATTTAGGTAATCTGTGATGTACTCAAAAACAGAGTAGAATTTAATAAGCTAGAAGTCAAATATTTTCTTTTTAATTGAAATGTAACACTCCTAGAGAAAAGTGCCTAAAACATTAGTGTGCTACACAATGAATTACTACAAAATGAATATGTGACCACTAATCAGGTCAAGGAATAGAACATTGCCAGAAGTCCTTTATAAAGGTATCCAACTTTTTAAAGTATTTTCCTTTATTTGAGCCTTTGGAAGTTAAATTTTCCTCTGGGAAAACAATATATGTCCCACCTTGCTTTCTTTATGGGTTACCATGACAATTGATTGTTAGTTATTTACCTCCATCCTTTCACAAATTCTGTCACCTTCTTAAAGAAATACACACATATAGCACCCCACTTCTATTCCTCTATGACTCATTTCTGGGGCCTCCACTTCCTCCTTTGTCTCCTGTTACTATGTGTCTTCTGTCTCCATATTCTTCCAATTGAAATTCTTCACCCAGTACGTGAATCATCGGATCTCTCTTCTAACTCCTCCACAGTTATGTGCTTTAAAAAAATCTCCAGCTGGAGTTAGAGTTTTGATGAGTACTTCAAATAAGATCCAAAGGTAATTTTTTATTTAATTCAGACTGTAAATATCATATATGAAGATGGGTCAGTAACATACCAAAAAAGATGACCAATTTAGAGGAAATGATTTGCTTTTGAGGGTACTAGGCAAAAGAACATGAAGAAACTGAAACCACTGTCAAATGCAAAAGGGTTAATAGTAAGAGGTGTACTCAGGATATGTATGTCACAGTGATAACACTACTGCAGAAATTTTTAAAAAGTACAATTAACTGAAAATGCTATTTATTAGTCAGTCTAGAAGGAAAAAAATTAGTAATGAAAAGAACAGACTACTCTGGAAATGTCTCATTTCTTTATGTGTCACTGAACTTTAGCTTTATCTTTTTTATTTTCTTAACGGTTCTTTCTATTTCTTGTCAACCTTATGTCATTTAAAGAATTGGTATGTTCTGACATTTATGATTATAAAACCTTGCTTGCAAGGACTTAAAGTGCTTCTCTTACATCTTTTTTTTTGATACAATTATTTCTTGGCATTCTTTTTAAAATAATTTTTTTTATTTTTCAATTACTGTTGACATGCAATGTTAGTTTCAGGCACACACCATAGTGATTAGACATTCATATACTCTATGAAATGCTCACCTTAATAAGTCTAGAACCCATGTGAGACTATACATAGTTATTACAATATTATTGACCATACGAGTATTCCCTATGCCATACTTTACATCCCATGACTATTTTGTTACTACCAATTTGTACTCCTTAGTTCCTTCTTCTTTTTCACCCACTCTCCCAAACCCCTCTCATCTGACAACCATCAAAATGTTCTTTGTATCTATGAATCCGAGTCTGTTTTGTTTGTTCATTTTATTTTTTGGAGCCTACATGAAATCATATGGTATTTGTCTTTCTGTCTGACTTATTTCACTTAGCATAATACCCTTGAGGCCAATCCATGTTGTTGCAGATGGCAAGATATCATTATTTTTATGGCTGAGTAATATTCCATTGTGTACATGTATCATTTCTTCTTTTGCCATTCATCTATTGATGGACACTTAGTTTGCTTCCATATCTTGGCTATTGTAAATAATGCTGCAATAAACATATGGATGCACAAGTTCGTTCAAAGTAGTGTTTTGAGTTTCTTTGGATAAATACCCAGAATTGGGATTAGTGAGTCCCAATATTTTCTTTGTCTCTTGTTATAGCCTTTGTTTTAAAGTCTATTTTGTCTGGTATAAGGATTGCTACCCCAGCTTTTTTTGTTTATTTATTTACATTTTCATGAAATACCTTTTCCCATTCCTTTACTTTCAGTCTCTGTGTGTCTTTCAATCTGAAGCGAGTCTCTTGTAGGCAGCACATGTAAGAGTCTTCTTTTCTTATCCATTTGGCCACCTTGTCTTTTGTTTGGAGCATTTAATCCATTTACATTTAAAGTAATTGCTGATAGATATGTAGTTATTGCCACTGCATTATTCATATTTTTAATCTTCCCCCCCCCCTTCTTCTGAAAGAAGTCCCTTTAACATTTCTTATAATACTGTTTTGGTGTTGATGAACTCCTTTAGCTTTATCTTGTCTGGGAAGCCCTTTATTTGTTCTTCGATTTTAAATGATAGCTCTTCAGTGTAGAAAAATCTTGGTTGTGAGTCCTTGCTTTTCATCACTTTGACTATTTCATGCCAATCCCTTCTGGCCTGCAAAGTTTCTGTTCAGAAATCAGCTGACAGTCTTACGGGAGCTCCTTTGTAGGTAACTGCTTTGCCCTTGCTGCTTTTAAGATGCCCTCTGTTTTTAACCTTTGGCATTTTAATTATGTTGTGTCTTGGTGTGGGCCTGCTTGAGTTCATCTTCTTTGGGACTCTCTGTGCTTCTTGGGCTTGTGTGTCTATTTCCTTTACCAGGTTACGAAACTTTTCTGTCATTATTTCTTCAAATAGGTTTTCAATTCCTAGCTCTCTCTCTTCTGGTACCTCTATGATGTGAATGTTAGTATGCTAGATGTGTTCCCAGAGACCTCTTAGACTATCCTGATTATTTTTGGATTTTTTTTTCTGTTCTGGTTGAATGTTTTCTGCTACATTATCTTCCAAATTGCTGATTTGAGCCTCTGCTTCATGTAATGTACTGTTGACTCCCTCTAATGTATTCTTCATTTCAGCTATTGCATTTGTCATTTTTGAATGGTTCTTTATATGGTTTCTATCTCCATTTTTATGTTGCCTATTTCTTTGTTGAAGTTCTCCCTGAGACCATTGAGCATCTTTATAATCAGACTGCTTATTTACGTTTTGTTAAGTTCTTTTTCTAGAGTTTTGTTCTGTTCTTTCACCTGGGATGTGTTTCTTTGTCTCCCCATTTGGCTGCCTCCTTGTGTTTGTTTCTGTGTATTAGGTAGAGCTGCTATGTCTTCCACTCTTGGTAGAGTGGCCTTATGTAGTAAATGTCCTGTGGGGCCCAGTGGCACAGTCTTCCTTGTTCCCTGAGCCGGATACTCCAGGTGTGTCCCTTGTGTGCGTTGTATGTGTTCTTTTGTGTAGTTTAGCCTTGGTTGCAGTTTGCATGTCAGTGGGAGAGACTGGCCCTTGGCCTCATTGGTTGTGAGGACTGGCTGTGACTACAGTGGAGGACCTGTTGTGCAGGGC